TCGCTCCACCTCCTCCTCCTCCTTCGTACTTCCCCTCCCCCCCCGCGCGCGTTCGCGCGCCGCTCCCTCTTGTGTTCGCTCGCCTCCCCGCCCTCCTCATCTGCCCTGCCCTCGTCCCCCGTCATCCTCCTCCCCCCATTGCTTCGTCAGATCCTCGTGCCACCTCCCCGTTACCCCCCTCGCCCTGCCCCCGCCCCGCAGGACCACTCGAAGGTCGCGCCGATCGACGTGCTCTCGGCCAGGCCCGCCGCCGAGATCGAGAACCACCAGTCGAGCTCCAAGGGGAAGGTCGTCGGCAAGAGGACGGCGGCGAAGGTGGCGGAGGCGTTGAACTCGCCGACGTTCGACGCCAAGGTGAAGTGCCTCGCGGACGTGCCGCCCGCCTGGTTCTTCACCCTGTGCGAGAAGGTGCTGGGCGAGACGATCCCTCAGGAGTGCGTGGACTACTGCAGCCAGAAGATCAGCTTGTACAAAGGCGTGCAGGATTATCTATCAGGCCGTTTTTTTTATTACTTATCTTGGGGCGGGTGGGTGGGAGGGATTTGCGTTGAGGAAGGGCGGACGGCAGGCTACGACGACGAAGACGACGACGACGACGACGGCGGCGGCGGCGGCGACGACGACGACGACGACGACGACGACGACGACGACGACGGCGACGACGACGACGACGACGAGGATAGGAGGTAGGGGCAGGTAAGGAGTATGGGGTAGGAAATAGGGGCAGCAGGATGCTAGATGTAGCGGGGACCTGGCAGGAGGAATGGGGGACTGGGGGGTCAGAGGGATGACGTAAGAGGGGCGAGGAGTTGTGGGAGGGAGGGTGAGGCATGATGGATGGGAGGGGGTGGGGTAGCGGGATGAGGCATGGTGGATAGGAGGGATTGTGAGGAATGGTGGATAGGAGGGAGTATGAGGCATGATGGATAGGAGGGAGGGTGAGGCATGATTGATAGGAGGGAGGGTGAGGCATGGTGGATAGGAGGGATTTGTGGGAGGGAGGGGAGGCGCGGTGGGATGGCCCCTCTCACCTCCCCCCCCCGCTCCGCCAGGGCTCCCGTCGACGTTCCCCGTGCAGGGGGATATGGCGACGAAGGACACGCTGGCCCGCTTCCTCATGAAGCAGATGGAGGACCGTGGCACGCTGAAGAAGGCGGGCGGATTCTTCAAGAGCGCGTGGAAGAACGGCACCTTGATGATGGAGCCGCCGCATTGCTGCTTCCAGGTGCTCAAGGGTGTTGCCGACGAGGATGGCGGCGAGATCCCTTCGGACCCCGCTTTGGGGACGGAGGGGGCACGGGCAGTCGTCGCTGTGGTCGTCGTCGTCGTCGCCAGCTGCGTCATCGTTCTCAGGGCTACGAGGGGCTGGGGGGGTTGGGCACGCATGCAGGTCGGCGGGGGTGCGAAGTGAGAGCGAAGTGAGGGGTCTATGGCACGTGCGGATGGGTCGGTACGCATGGGGATAGGTGCGATGATGAGGAGGGGCACGGGGCGACGAGGTGGGGAGATAGCGAGGAAGCGCGCTGGCAAATCGCAGAGGCAGCGGGGAGGCAAGAGGGGGGTGAGACGGCGACGACGACGCACGAATGAACCGTATCTGCGATGCGAGGCGGGGCGGCCGTCGTCACAGACAATCGCGTCTTCGTCCTCGACGTCGTCGTCGTCGTTCGGCGTCGTGGAAGTCGTCGCCGCCGCCGCCGACGCGATGCCGAGACGCCCCCAGGCCGTGCCAGACGGAGCGAGGGGCGGCGGTCGGGGAGGCGAGAAGATGAAGGAGGTGAGGGGGATGGAGGCGATTGGGGAAGGGCCTAGGAGTGGGCAGACGGGATCGGAGGAACGCGGGTATCTGGGAGAGGAGCGAATGAGGACATGTGGAGGTGAGCTGTTAGGAGTCGTCGTAGTCGCCTTTATCGTCGTCGTCGCCGTGGTCGTAGACGTCGTCGTCGACGGCGTCGTCGACGGCGTCGTCGTCGGCCGCCGTCGCCGTCGTCGTCGTCATCGGCTGTCGCGTAGCGTTCGTCGTCGCCGTCGGGGCCGATCATCTCTTAATCCACCCTTTGTTACCTCGCCCCTGCCTCCTGCTGCCCCTCCAACCGCATCCGCTAGGACCAGGTGAAGAACCTCATCACGAACGCGGAGCACGAGCTGGCCGAGCGCTGGCCCGAAGGCGCGGGGGAGGGCCATATAAGGAGGGATGCCAGGGCGGCGGGGATTGATTTTGGGCCCAATGGGGACGGGGGGTTCGATGAGGAGGGATGGGAGGATGAGGGAGGAGTGATCGTGCGAGCCCGATGGGGGGGGGGAGGAGTACGACGACGACGACGGCGACGACCGCGACGACGACGACGACGACGGCGGTGGCGACGACGACGACCACGACGACGCCGACGAAAACGACGACGACGACCACGACGACGACGACGGCGGCGGCGGTGGCGGCGATGACGACGACGACCACCGCGAGGTGGACGACGACGACGGCGGCGGCGGCGGCGTTGACCGCGACGACGACGACGACGGCGACGGCGGCGACGGCGGCGACGGCGACGACGGCGAAGGCGGCGACGACGATGGCTGACCCATTTGCCCCTTCAGGGCCAGGCAGTTGGTTGGCCGCGCCGCGCAGCGCACCGCTCTACCACCACCCAACTACCCCACCCCCCTGTGCCGCGTTGCGCCGCCCCGCGCCCCCGCCCTCGCCGCCTCCCCCCCCCCCCCGAGGCAAGCCGATCTTGGACAACTTCAGCGAGTCGGCCGCGCATTGCATGATCATGAACCAGCGGGTGCGGATCATCTCCCTCTTCAGGGGCAAGGGCAACAAGCTGAACCTCGCGCAGGCCAAGCAGGCGTCCAAGTCCTTCCTCGAGTCCGAGAAGAAGGAGCAGAAGAAGGCGGAGGTCGTGGTCACGGCTGACATGGCCCAAGCGGCCAAGCGGAAGCGGCAGAGGGTGGGGAGTGGCCTTGCCGCGCCCTCTCAGCTGCCGTGATCGGGTAGGCTGCTCTCTTGCCGCGTGGGCTCGGAGGCGGCCTCAGTTTTTTCAGGTTTCAGGCGTCGGGTTGTTCGAGTCGCTCGGGCGGTCTGGAACGTCGTCTCATCAGTCGGGCCAGTGATTTTAACGGCGCCGAGAGGTTGGCCTCCGACCCCGAGCAAGTGTAGTTCCTGCGAGGTTGGGGTAAGTGGCCTCAGGCTGAGGGCTGTACCCATGAGTGAGGACATGGTAATCATGGCACGGGGAGGGTAGGATGGGGGGCAGGATGGGCAGGATGGGCAGGGGCATGAGAGCAAAGTCAGCGTCACGCAGGTGGCAATAGGGGCGAGGTTTGGCCATGTGGCGAGGGGGGGTCTGTGCCTTCCCAGCGCACCCTGAGCTCGACATGCATGTATGTATGTATCTATGTCCATATTCGCCTTATCCACCGATCGCCAGTCCCCTCCCCTCCCTCATTATGCGTTCGCTCACCCGTCGCCCCGCCCGCGCGACGAAAACGGCTCCCGCTCGAGCGTTCCTCGCACTTGATTCTGCGCCGCACTGGCCAGGGAGGCCTCCGCGCTCGGGCAGTGCAGGGTCGCTCGAGGTTGCCCCTTAATTCAGGCGGGGAGGTCAATGCCCATCCACGGCGGCAGCAGCAATGCTCCTCCCCCGTCGTCATCGCCGTCGTCGCCGTTGTCGTCGTCGTCGTCGGCGTCGGCGTCGTCGTCGGCGTCGCCGAAGGCTCGAGAGGTAGGACGGATGTGGGGAGGGCAAGGAAGAGGAGGGAGGGGCCCCATCGCGCTGAGACACGGCGCAATGCGCTCTCACACGCTGGTTATCGGTACAGCCCTGACGCCGACGGCCCGCCTCGCTTTCACCAGCACCGACGCGGGGATCATTCCTCTGGCGACCGCAGGTCTGTGCGACGGCATCCGCGAGAGGAAATATCGATCGGCTAACCGCCGTCACTTGCCACGTCAGCCATTCCCCGCGCGCCCGCCCTCGGGCGCGAGGAGGGGGGGGGGAACTTGACGAGTGCGGGCGGGGGGAGGGGAATGAGGCAGTGGGCGATGGGAGATGAGGGGGGAGGATCGCGGGTGCGCGGGCCCTATGGGCATCGCCGTCTCCGCAGCGAGGAAGCATAGGCCACTCAGAGCAGGGCGCGGGGTCACGTGTCTCAGGGAGGGGTCAGAACGCGCAGTGCCGCGGGCACCCTGGCGCCCCCCATCGTTGTTGAAAGGCCCGCCTCTCGGGCCCATGCAGCCTCGCACTTTTGGCATTGTCGAGTTCCGTTCTTGTAGACAACTTCTGACTCCCCTGTTAGCCAGCCCTTCCTCTCGCCCTCGTGTCTAGTGTCGCCCTTCCACGCTCCGCGCCCTTCTCGCCCGAGGGTTGCATTCCTTGCTTTCGGGGCTATCGCAGCCGCCCCGCACCCGCCCCCCTTCCTGGGGGCAATTGCAAACGGGGCAACTCGAATCAGGCTGCGTGGAGCGATGCGCAACTCTCGAGTGTTGCGAGTAGTCGGCGTCACCCCCAGGTCGCAGTCTCTGGAGCTGGGCACTTCCCCGTGCCATGACAGTCTCAGGTCGTCGGGGCCCCCTCCTAGGGGACCTGAACATGATAGTATCTCGGCCACGCGTGGCAACGGTTCTAGATCGCGTCGATTCGGAGGGCGTTTTGTTCTCGAGCTGTGGACGCCATGGGTCCACCGATACGGGCAGGGGCGCAGCATTTTCGGATAGTGAAAGATTACCCCTCGCCCGACGGCCATGGCAAGCAGATCATAGTCAACTTGATCTCGCTCGAATCGGCGGCCCTCCCCCATGAGCGGGACCCGCTATATAGGGGCACCAACTGGGTCACTGCGTGATCTCAGGGCGTTTGCCTTGGCGTTTTCGGGGGCACGGCGCCGCGGCTGCCAAGGGCGGCCGCGGCGCGAAAACCACGATTTACGCCGGACAATCGGCCCGACGGGGGGGGGCGGGGGCGGGGCGGCGGGCAGCTCCACAGGAGCACGTCCTCGACGAGCAGGAGCCCTCCGACGACGAAGGCGTTCCGCTGGCCGTGGTGGTGCCTGCGGACGACCAGGACGAGACTCCAGGCTTCCTCGCGCAGAACTTGTTCTCGGTCAGCGCCTACGGGGATGACCCCTCGCAGTTCGAGTCCATGACGTTGAGGCTGTCCGACGCTAGCGTGCTGCCGATGAGAGATGTGTTTTCCAGGTATCGGATCGGGCAGTTCCAGGTGGTCCCCGACGGCCCTGGCACTAAGGGCATCACGGTTCAGGGGGCCGCGTTCGAGTCGCACAGGTTTTCGGGGAGATTGTATTTCGACTTCAATGCCATCTGCGTGGGGCTGGGCCTCCAGAAGAACCACTCCAAGAGTAGCAAGTGGTTCAATAAACGGCGGCAGCGGTGGGAAGTGCTCTCAGTCAAATACGGGGGCAGCGGGATGTGTTTGCGGAAGTCCGTCCCATATGGAGCCCAGCCCGACGACCTGGCGCAGCCTGAGAGATGCTTGATGTTCCCGTCCGTGAGTGCCAGGTTCACGCTGCTCTTAGCGCTGCGTAGTTCCGCGGCAGTGCATGCCCGCCACGGCCTCCTCCACGGTGGCTCCAGGGATGCGTTCGAGCGGCTCTTCAACGGCTTGCTTGGCAAGATCCCCGAGAACTTCGACATCCATCTTCGGGCGGACCACGCCGCCTCCAAGGTGGCCTGGGCGGGCAGTGCCAGAGCGTGTTGTTTGATCATCGGTTCGGACCCCAGTTCAGGGCCCTAGCATTTGAAACGACTCGTCTGCAAACCGAGTCTGCCGACGTCGCCGACTGAGGGGCTGGCGGGAGGGGGATGGGGGAACAGGTGGCCGAGTTGGGCCATGGGGGGTGGCATTCGCATTATGGGGGCAACGATGGGGGAGAGAGGGAGGCGGAAGGACGGCTCAGGCGGTCGCTCAGGGAGCGGGCCAGTCACACGTTGTCACGGGGACGCTCGCGTTGACAGGGGGCGCGATGATCTAAGGGAGAGGGCGGCAGAAGGGGGTTGAAACCATGCGCCCCCAGGTAGCCGACTTCCACTTCGGCAGGTGCCCGTTCACGGTCACCGTCCGCGACGGCATCGTTCGGGTCCAGTCCTTGAGGCGCCTGTTCGACGAGGGCAAGGTGCCGTACGTCAAGTGCGTGAGCGGCCAGATAGATAGGTTCCTCCACCTCGACGGCGAGGGTTTGTACACGTTCGTCGTGCAGCTGTACAACGCCGCGGTGCAGGAGCATTGCGACTTGCTCAAGAACCTCTTCTCACAGGCACGCTTTTTTTCTTATGTTTCCTTGGTGCGATAGCTCGTGCCGCGTGCACTTCGGACCTTTAGCCAGTGACACGGCGGCCGCAACGACTCGCCCGCATCGTCGATCCTCGTTCTTGTGTCTTCGCCATGTCGCAGGGCCATTTCCGATGCGCTCGCACGGGGTGCCGTCGTCTCTGCGGGCGGCTTCTATGTCCCAGTTTGATCGGTGGAGAGTCGAGGATTCGCGATCTGCCTCGCGCCCCCTTCCCCAGTCGCCCCCGCGACCGCCCCGTGCGTGTAAATATCTGCTCTGGCCAGGTCCTCACCGAGCTCGCGCGCCAGGTGGAAGCCACGTTCCTCGTCGGGTTTCCCACTCGCGGCTTCGACGGCCACCTGCGCGGCGAGAGCGACGCCCCCAGGGCGGCGGAGGGCAGCTATTACAACCCCAAGAACGCGAGGCAGACGGAGTCGATGCTATGCAGATACGTCGAGGCCAGCCAGAAGCGCTTCAAGGATTGTTTTTTTTTGTTTTAAGTGTCGCTCCCCCCCCTCTCGGATCTTAGCTTTGCTTCGCCCCGTCGATGTCCGATTGATGCATTTGCTATTCGCCGTCAGTAGGGTCGGGGCCGCGAGGCGCGGGCGGTCCGACGATCGTTGCTCGATCGCTCGGCGCGCGTGTATTCCGACGCTCGAATCCGTGCTCGAGCGAGTAGTGGCAGCTTGATGTACTAGGCCCTTGCAGTTAGTGTCATCGTTGCCCTCCCCTTCCCCCTCTCTCGCCACCCGCCCGCTTGCGCGGCCCCCAGTCGGATCTCCCGCCGAGCAGCGCCGCGCGCTTTCGGCCCTCGCCCCGCCCCGTTCTCCAGGGAGCCCAGTTCGCGAGCCTCAGCGGGCCAGACGGGACGAAGATTGGGACGGACCACTCCGTCGTGTGCTCCGTGGCCATGGAGCAGGACTCAGGCGCATGCTGCATCACTCTGCCGCAGGCCTCTCCTCTCCTTGCCCCGCACCTCGCTCTCCTCTTGCTTGTCCGTCCCTCTCCGCCCCCTCCTCGTTCCCGCCGCTCCCCCCTCCGCCCCCCTCAGCCTTGCTCCGCATCTCCCCATCCTCCCCCTCCTCCTCCATGTGCCTTCCAACCTCTCCCTTATTTACATATACGTATATATACATACTGAGTATTATACGTATTCGCACTTTGGTACATAGGCACACTATCACACATACGTCCTCACATCTGCACACTTATACACACCTACATACATATGCACACTCATGCAACAATACCCTGCTAGGTAAGTCAACGCGCGCGTATAGGATGAGCGTCATGCGTAGTACTACCCGTCAAACCATATCCCATGGTATAACGGTTAATGAGGAGTCGTATGAGCATGTGTACTTATCCGTGCAAATGCACTCACGCATGTACATTACCCATACAGGCACATACATACACTGACTAGCACATGCACTGCTAGGTATGTTGTTCTTCGCGCGTAGGAGGTTCGAGTTCACTTAGGTGCACGCGTGTGGAAGGATGGGGCGGGATGAGGTTGGAGGAGGATGGGTGAGGGAGGTGATGATGAGGATGGAGGGGCCGAGGAGGGCGGATGCGGATGCGGGGCGACGTGGACGATGTGAGGACGATGGGCGCGGGCAGGGGGTGCAGGAGGACGGGGGGAAGGATGGGGCGCGGCGAAGGATGGCGGAGGAGATGGGGGTAGGGGGGAGGAAGGATGGATGTGCAGATAGGGCGGTGGAGGACGCGGAGGAGGGCGAAGAATTTATTAGGGGAGGGGGCGGGCGGCGGCAACTTGGAGGGGTGGGGAAGAGGGGTGAGGGATGATGGAGGAATGTGGAGGGGGCTGTGCTCGGCGCCAGCACCCCGCCGCTGCGCGGTGCAGCTTTGCGCCCTCGCGCGGGTCCCGCTGCCCAGATATATGTCGGGTGGTATGCGTGCCGACGTGGGTGTCAGCCCATAAAAATGCGCGTATCATTGTTTAGGACTAGCGTTGGCCATCTATCCCTACACCGAAACACAACACTTGCGCGTGTTCTTCGATATCATCACCATTATGGGGACGCCCCCTTTAAAATAGTTGGTCTAGCTAGCACCGTTTCGACGTATCAACTGTTCGTCGTTGGAGCATGTATTCGCGCGCATCTCTAATTGCATGTTCCTATCTCGGCCACCCGTTCAATTTACGCGAGGCGTTTTCAGGGTTCTGCGCCTCCAGTCCTCCATCAGCCCCGCTGGCGCCGCGTTGGGGGGTCGCCCGCGCCTGGGGCTTCGCATGGTTTCCCGCGGCCCCCCGCGGCGCTTTCCCGCGACGTCATCTCGGCGCCGCTGCGTTAGTCCCCTGTTCGAGGGGTTGGCTTCCGAATTTCTCGACTATGGCCATGCTAGTGGTTTTCGGTTCTGCCCTCCTCCCGCCCCCCCCCCTCCTTTCGCGCAAGTGCCTCGTCTGCTGCGTCGCGACGATCGCGGGGCTGCGAGAGGAGGGGCGTTGGCGAAGCCGAAAACGACGTTTCGCTTGAGACCTCCTCGTTTGTTTGCCGCGAGCGGGCGCGATGCGTTGTGCTGGTGGGTCGCCCTGCGGCGCGCGCGGCGCCGTCGGCGTGGCGGCGGCCGCGTGGCCGCGCAACGCTGGGGGCTGCGCGAAACCGATTGGGGCTTGCAATTATGTGCGCGACGCGCTACCATCTCTTTCTCTCCGCGTCAGCTTCTCACCGCTGGGTTTCTCCTTTCTCTCTGCTCTTTCGCACCGTGCTCAATTCTGCTCGCCGTGCCCGCCTGCCGTCCCGCCCCTCCCGCCTCCGCAATTTCTGCGCCCGCCCCGCTCTCCTCCCTCTTGACGCAATTGGCCGTCCGCGCGCGCCGTCGCTGTCCACGCAAGGCTTATTTCACATGGCCGCTGGCATGTATGTCTCGCGCATCATATAAGTGTTTTTATCACGGCCGCGCGTCTACCAATTCTCCCGTTTCATCTTTCCTGTTGGGGGTGAGGGCCACGCGAACACGGCTGCTGTTGACGGGTCCGCAGCCATCGGTCGGCCGCGCGGCGCCTCGAGCGGAAGGGGGCGGGGGTCGCATTCGAGAGGCCGCGGACGTCTCGCGCGCTTTCGGGGGGTTGGTGGGTGGGGGGCTGCGTGTGGGGGTCGGGGTGCGAGCTCGGGGGCGGGGCGGGGCCTCCCCGTGGCCCGCTGGCCCCGCGGGGCCGATTCCGCGCGGGCAATGCAAGGCAGATGGCCGCGCGTCCTCCTCTTCCACGAAGAGATGCATATGGAGGGCGCGCGGCGTACCATTGCCGTACATGGCAGCCAGTGCTCGGGCTCATGGGGGGCCTGTCCCTGGGCGTCGGCATCGTTGCGCGATGTCGGCGCCCACGGCGGAGCCATCCCAGGCCGTGGCGGGCGTGGGCCCTGAGTTCGTGGACCGTGCGCACGCGGCCATTGGGGGGTGTCCCGCATTGCGCGCGATCGCATTCAGGGCGCAGAAAGCCATGCAGGGCGCAGCGGCGGCAGCTTGCGCTGCTAGCGTGGATACCTTCGAGGGTGCGCGCCGCGGGGCCGCGCCGCCGCCCCGCGCGGCCATGCTGGGCGCGTGGGCGCCAGGCGCTCCGCCGCGCTCTGGCCGCGGGCCAGCGCGACTTTACGCTTGCGCAGCGCGAGCAGTTGGAGCTCGGGCTCTGGTGCTACGCAGGCACCCACGTGGACTGGCCAGCTGCTGGCGCCCGCCAACAACCAATGCCCCGCGCCATGTTCGGCCCCGCCCCTGCCCTCGCCCCGGCCCCCGACTCCCCCCCCCGTTGCCGACGTCGTGTCCCGCATGCCCGCGCGCCCTGCAATCCGTCGGAATGTTTGTCGCGGCCCGCCGCAGTTCGATCGTGATCCGCGTTGGCGAATACGCGCAATCGGTGATGTTGCCGCCGCCCTCCGCGCGCAGGGCTGCCCCGCCATCCGCCGCTCTCCCGCCGTCGCTTGCCCGTGCGGTTTCTGTCCCACCTCGCCCGTTTCATTGGCTGCGCTTTGGCTTGCGGTGCGGGGGATTGGGGAGGGGCGGAGAGGGGGGGGGGGATTGGGGGGTCGTCGGCGGGGGAGGGGATCAGGGGAGGGGGAGGGGAGGGGGAGGGGGAGGGGGGCGTCGCCCCGCGCCTTCTTCGGCATCGCCGATTCGCATCGCATGCATTCGGCATCGCCGATTCGCATCGCATGCATGGCGGCAGTCGCGCGCGACGCTGCCCGCCCGCAGCGGCGGCGCCCGCGCCCCGCCGACTCGGAGCATCCGTCGCGGTCGGTAACCTCATCGCGGGGCGTTACCCTCCAGGACAACGGGTCATCGAGATTGACGACGACCTGTCCTCGATCGACGGCGCGGGCTGCCGCGACAGCGCAGCGTTCATTGACGAGGGCGCGAAGCGTCAAGGGGCCAAGCCCGCGGGGGCGCGCCGCGAATGCATCGGCGATGGCACGCGGGGCGGCGGGCGGGGGGGGCGGGGTGCGGGTGGTTTGACGAGGGGGTAGGTGGGGCGGTCAGGGAACGAACGGGAGCGGGGTGTGAGCATTTTTGCGGGGGGGGGGAGTGGGGCGGGCATTGGAGATGGGGGGGTGGGAAGGGTGAATTGGGCGCGGGGGGGGGGGGGGGGAGGGAGGGAGGGGAGGGGGAGGGGGGGGAGGGAGGGGGGGGAGGGGAGGGGAAGGGAGGGGGAGGGAGAGGGCGGAGGGAGGGGGAGGGGTGGGGGGAAGGGAGGGGAGGCGGAGGGAGGAGGGAGGAGGGGGAGGGGGGGGGGGGAGGGGGGGAAGGGAGGGAAGAGGTGGTAGGGAGGGGGGGGTGCAGTCGAGCGCGGGGGAGGCGGAGGGGGGGGGAATATTTTTTTCGGGGGGGGGGGGGGGGGGGGGGGGGGGGGGGGGGGGGGGGGGGGGGGTGCGCGAGTGGCAGGGAGAACCCATTCGAGGCAGGGCGGGTCGCGATGTCCCTGC